TTATATAGACGATAGACATATAATATTAATATTTTAAATCTTAAATATATAAATAACATGAAATAAAGTGATATGCATGTAAATTTCCCTATTATAAAACAACATAGCTCATTTATCAAACCTTTTTCTTTTACCACTAAGCTTTCACTTTACTTATGAAAGCGATCGAAAGCAGCTAAGTCGAAAAGCTTCTGCGAAGCGTGGAGTTGAAGGATCCATTACCTCCTCCTCCTCCATAATTGACAAAGCTAAAAATCTAGATCTCGAACGTCAAGATCAGATCGGCCGTTCACAAATCAACAATTAAGCCCGATCACCGATCCGTCGCCGGCCGATACACCCACCAAGCATCCGGCGGTCGCCTCAACGTGATGCGTGAAAAACCTCAAAACCCTAACCCTACCCTTCACCCTCATCCTCGAACGTACCTCCATGATCCCCGCCATCGGTGGCGTGGCCGCAATGGGGAAAGAATCGACGGAGAACTTTCCCCCGATGTTCTTGGTTCGGCCGCCGTCGATCTCACCGGCGGGGATGTAGATGAATCCGACTTGGTTTCCGGCGTAGATTAGCTGCAGCGAGCTGTCGTAATGGGAGAAGGCGGCGCGGTTAGGGTTTCGAACGACGGCGTATTGCGCGAAGGTGAAGCTCACGGTGCCGTTGCCGAAGGAGAAGCCGGGGATCTGGACGGCGGAGACGTGGATCGTGGGGGAGCGGGGCCGGAAGAGGAAGAAGAAGGTGATTGCAAGCGCGATGGTGACGAGGACGAGGAAGCAGGTGGCGAGGGCGCAGGAGGAGAGGATTTTGCCGCCGCCTCCGGCCGAGGTGGCGTTGGGTCGGCGGAGTGGAGGAGGGAAGGGGTTTGTTGGCCGCGGCGGAGGGAAGCGGGAAGGAAATTTGTCCATGGACGTCGGTGGCGGGATCCCCATGGGTTGTTCTTCGTTTCCCAGTCTTGTATTGAGAGTCGACTGAGAGAACGGAGAAGGTGAAAATTGGGAAAGAATGCAGGGAAAATAGGCACAAAGCGATATACTAAGAGGGAGCAGGAGGGGCCGTAGGGCAGTTGAAGAGGGGGAATTAGAGGGTTTAGTCGAGCTAAAATAGGCACTAATGTAATGTGGCTTGAGTTTAATTAATTAATTAAGTTTAAATTTGAGCTTAATTTTGTAATTTTAAATTATCCATTCATTTGTTATAAAACATAAATAATAATTTTATTTAAATAATGGGTGTAAGTGAGTCAAATCTACTCGATGTATTTGATTTGATAAATGACTCGTGAGTCAAGCTCGATAAGTTAAGAATCAAGCTGAGCTAGCATTGACTCGACTCATTAACTTGCTAGCAAGCTCTAAAAATA